AGTGGGTCTCCTCAAGCAAGTACTTAGGAGTTATGATCTCCTACAACCACTTCGAGTTGCAGACCCTGCATTTTCGGATGGGGGAGGCGAAGCAAAAGTTGCATCAAGTTCGCCAATTCGTCTACAACCGCAGGTATGCAAGTACCATGTCGCGCCTTAAGGTGTGGCAGAGTACTGTCCTGGGCACCTTGACGACTGGCCTATCTGACGTCGGTTTAAGCGAAGAGTCGGCCAAACAGCTTCGCAGCTGGCACGCCTACAAGGTACGATCGGTGCTGAACCTGCCGGCTCACACCACTCGGATCACCACTAAGGATCTTTTCCAGCTCTACAACATCCAGGACCCTGTCCACGCACTGCAGTCCAAGCTAAGGAAGCGGCTTCGCAAACTGGAGCGACGAGCAGTGCAAAGCCCGGACATCACGACAGACCCCTCGGTTCTGCAGGTTATCCGAGATAAGCTGTTGGTCCTGTCACAACTCCCTGAGCCCGAGGAACATCCGGTAACCTCATACGAGTGCACGCTCTGCGCGGCTTCATTTCAGACGTCAAATGGACTACATTTGCATAAGTCGAGGGTTCATCCGGCGAGCATTGACCGCTTTGTGCCTTCAAGCTTCGATAGAAAGCTCCACGCTGTGGATGGGATGCCGCAATGTGCGGCATGTAAGCGTAAATTCCATCAATGGAAAGGCCTACGTGACCACTTGCTTTCGGGGGCATGTCCGGAACCTCAGAAGCTCCGTTCACTAAAAGAAGCAGACAAACAGTCCAACCATCCCGATATTAGGACTCTCTTCCAGCTGAGACAGGACATTGCTCTGCTCCCACAACACCGCATCGCGGAGCTCTCGAGGACTGCGGATTCCAAGGTCCTTAATCATCGGTGCTTAACGTGTGACTTCTGGACTTTTGACCACACCAAAGTCAAGTCGCACTTTCGTCAGGCGCATCCTAAGGACTGGTCACGCCTACACAGGCGGGCTGTTAATATCTGTCAGGGCTACTCGCCCCAGTTAGCCAAGGGCCACTCATGTCCCTTCTGTGGCTACAAGGTCTATGACCGCAGACTGCATCCGGAGCAGTGTCCGGTGCTCTATCAGGTAAGCACGCAGTGGCTGCGAGGGCAGCCTGACGCGGACGTCGATCCCGTCGCCCCGCCTCCCAAGCCTCAGACAAAGTCGTTGGCCAGCTTTTTTAGACCTAGGTCGAATGGCACAGCCTCCAACTCGTCGAGCACAGCTCGTCATCCTACAACAGACTCGAACCAGGAGTCTGTGGCGCAGGCCCCCAGGAACACAGAGCCACAGCCTACAGGCTTACACAAACGCGTACTGTCTAACACGGCAAACTCCTGCTACGCTAACGCTCTCTTCCAGGCCTTGCATCAAGTATCGAGCTTTGGGTATGATCTGGGTGCTTTTCAATCTGTCTTAACCCATCTCGGGGATGAGAGTGCCCCTAGACTTCTGAACTTGTTCGGCCTGTTTGAATTTCGCCATGCCATTGCCGGTTGGCGACTAGATGGCAGGCAACACGATGTCTCAGAATTTCTTCACCATCTGCAGCAAAAGCCCATGGGATCCCTTCAGCACACTCAGTGGCAGGGTCGTACTGGGGGAATCGTTGAGGAGTCGGATGTGGGAGTCAGTCCTCTTCTCCTTCCCCTTCCGACGGGACCTCTGTCTCTCCAAGCCTGCCTAAGATTCTGGGAATCGCAAACTTTTAGTCGAGCGCTGGTATGGGCCCCAGAACTCCTAGCTGTTGTGATTTGCAGATGGCAAGACGGTGTCAAGAATACCCAGCCGTGCGCCTGGACCGGCCGTGCCATGGTGTCCGTGTGGACATCCAGCGAGCACACTGCCCAACGATCCTACCAAGTCCTGGCAGGAGTTGCCCACTTTGGGGACTCCCTAGCGTCCGGGCACTACCGAGCCTTCTGGCCAGAGGACCCCGCGGATGCGAGATCTCAGGTGTGGATTTGCGACGACTACAAGCTTCCGGAGAGGGCCTCAGCGGCCTTGGTTCAATCACTTTCCCGAAACGTCTACATGCTTTTCTTGCAACGAACTCGTTAGCATCATCGCTTAAGGCGATGCATGCCGGCCCAACCTCGGCCCTCAGGGCTAAGCAGGGCGCCCGTGCGTGAGAAGCCCGTCGTCAATTTCATGTTGACGCAGGCCGCCTCACGTCAAGGCCAAGTGTGTCATGAGCGCACGCGGACATGCACACTCTGTAATTTCCTTACTCTCAATCAGCTCTTTTTATTTAGTCAGCTTCCCCCCAGCTCCCTTTGGCCGTCATGACTGCCTCGCCTGCTACTGCCACGAGCCCGGAGCACAAGCATCTGTCGCAGCCGGGTTGAAATGACAACAGAAGGCAAAAGTTGCCATCGTTGTCAACCCTTCCGCCTCAAGCTTCGCGATGCTCTCATCCGACACCCCAGTGTCTTTGGCTCGCGCTTTGAAGGCTGCCGCGCTCTCCCCAAAGGACATGGCTCCTAGTGCTAGGTTCACTCAAGATCAGTCTAGGGCCCAGCACGCCTTGCAATCACTTATAGCGTCGGCGAGAATGCCGCTCCCTAGTGCGCCACTTTTTAGTCCAGCTTAGTGCTGATTTGCTCTTGCCCCAATATGGGCGCTTCGGCTAAGCACCCTTTGTACGGGAGCAATTAGTAAATGTCACAGACTCCTCAAATCCCGTATGGCACAGCCTCTGGGAATTCGGTGCTCTTCCGACGCTTTTGCAAATCTCTTCGGGAGCTGTATAGAGCAGCGCGCTAGCCACGGCAAAATGCAGGACACTGCACTTCGCCTGAGCCGATATGGTCAATCAGCTGTCGGCTGTTTGACTCACTCAGCTCTACAGGAAACCTACCCAGAATAACGGAAGCAGTCCGAGGAAAGCCAAGAGCATGAGCGTCGCTTATTGGGGGGTAGTCACGACAAGCACTCCGAGTCGTATGTAGGTTTACGCACATGTGACCCTTACGGCCTTCTGTCTCCAGCATGAGTAATCCGTGTGGGACGCCACAAGACGGATACTCTAGGCGCCGGCTTCGCCCGAAGTACGACCTAATTGCTGGGACAGGTGCACAGACGGACGCGTCTGTTCACAACAAGGTGGCGGAGGAGGAAGCCATAGATGTACAGTCTTACTCAACTGAGCAGTTTGAGAGGAATAAGAGCGATGAATGCTAGCAGATAACCAGTTTCACGAGTGCACGGGACCAAAGGCGCCCGCAAAGCGCAGAGCACGCTCGCGCAGCGTTCAATTGAAAAAAATAGTAGTACCAGTAATAACAGCAGCAGTGGTAGTAGGAGAGGAGGGGTAGCAGTAGCAGCACTATGCCGAAAGTCAGGCTTGCAGATTTCGCCTCGTGGGCTCCTGAGTTTCGTGTGAAGGCCGGCGGAGTCGAGCTCGGTACTGTGCGGCTCCAGCGTCGGGGTCTCGGCTTGGGGCAGGTCTCGGCTTTGGGCGTAAGGCGACCAGTGAAGTGCTGAGAGCATACTTTGAAGTTGCGACATGTGCCTTCGGCGTTTGCGACAGGGCTTGGCACCGCAGATGTTCCGACAATTTCCGACCCTGCAGGATGGGAGCTCGACGTAGCAGCACACATGGAGGTCGCAGCATCTTAGCTTCGAGTGCATGAGGGGAGGTCTCCTGGCCACTGTGACCCGCAGGCAGCAAGGAGCCTCATGATGGCGGTGCTTCAGAGTGTCTGGCTCAGTGCGGTTCGGATATACTTCGGTTATCAGGAATCACTTGTGCCCGATTTGGGTATATTCGGGTGTTTGTTCTATGGCACCGAGGCGAGAATGAACACAGAACCGTTCTGCAGCACGTTTTCGGTGGAGTTCGCATCTTAGCCACGCTCACTACCTGTGGGGTTCGGATGGTGCGAAAATCCACGGAGCTTGCGAGGACTGCTTGCGGATATCCAGAGCAAGAGCTGCACCGGCCTCGAAGTCGGGCTTTGGAGCTCCTTTGCTGCAGGGTTTTTGGTGGTCTTGTGGTCCTTCTAGGTGGTGGAGTCAACGCTGCAGCTTGGACTCTGCAGCAGGCACGGTCTGATCGCTGTAGCCTGAGCGAACCGTCCGGCTTGATGCCAGCATCAGTGTTGCAGGCAAGGCAGGGCAACTGACTGCCTCAGGGCCTGCGAGTCAGTGGAGCCATCCTGGCCGGTTTTGATGGTGCCTCACCTGCTTGAAAGTTCGTTCCTCAGGCTGTTGGGACTTGACTCACGTGGCTCTGTCCAATACTCGTAGTAGAAAGTAGGTGGTGGCACCACTTGGGGTAAGCGTGGCCAGATGAGCGAGAGGTGCAGCGAAGTCATCTGGTGTCCCATCGATTCCGATCGCTCTGCCAGTCTTTCCGGCACATCCACCAGGTTCCAGAATGTCACCAGCTGAACCTCGTTCTTGCAGAGCCAAAAGACTCCAAAGCACGCCAAGGACACATGTCGTTCCGGCATGGTCCAGACTTCACAACCTGTAGCAACACCGATTCTTGCTGAAGATATCGACGTGAGATGGATGTCCATTCTGCGCAGTTTGCGCATGGCTGGTTCACGCAACTCCACAAGCGCCGGCTCAAACCACTACCCAAAATCCAGGACTGTGCCAGAAACACGAGGCTGCACCGAGGGCACAAGAGCAGAATTCAAGTTCTACTACACGACGAGGGTACAGGCAGCTCATTACTTGTAGTGCCTCACAGCTTCCGAAAGTTACACCCGCAGACAACAGACTTCTGCCAGGCAGGTTCTTGGCGACCTTGGACTGGGATTTTCGCTGCGTCGACGCCTGATAGTGCCGTGCCATTTCGTGTGCAGAAGGCTGGCAGAAGGTGTCCTCCCGTGCAAGCTTCGGTTCTGCAAGGTTCGAGTGTTTCCCTGCAGCGTCGGTTCATGTAGATCGTTAGATGGGTGGCTGCACAAAACGTGCGGCTTAGCCCGAGCCTTCTGGATACCAGATGGACATGTGATATTGAAGGGGACGATGGGGAAATCAATGCCCATCAATTTTGCTTTGTTCCGCCCACTTTTCGTGGCACTTCTTCTGTTCTTGCTGAATCTGCTGCATGGGGAGGTGTTGTTAGTGGATCCTGACACAGACTTGGCTCTCTATGTCAATGGCCAGGAGTACTTCCCGGACGCTTCAGTCCCAGTGCTGCCTATGAATGGTGTGCGTAGGATCAATACTGGGGAAACGAACATTAGGGTCTACAGGACTGCCCGAGACCTTACAACTGGCGACTTGCTGGCGCTGCACGTCAACACGAGGCGATCGTCGGTAATAAATGTAACAGATGCACTCGGGCGGAAGATTGAGTATCCCGCTCCGGTGGGGATTGCCGTTACTGGAGAATACGGCACGATGAGCACGGATGCCTTCAAGTGTTTCACGCAGAAGGAGGCGGATGATGATGTCAAAACGCCCTTCCAGGAACTTGCATTCAATGACTCGCACTGGCCTTTCGCATATGAACAGGCAGCGGATTGTTGCCCATGGCGAGACCGCTTGATGGCGTGGAACAGGATTGGGGCTAAATGGATCGGACTGAACCCTGCCTTCTACGGTGGCAACATTTCAGGACCCCGGCAAATGTTCTGCAGATACCGAGTACCTGGAGACACACTCGTCAGTCGGTTGCCTGTAGAAGAGACGCAGGGTTCCTCCGCAACAGCCCCGCAAGTTGAGATACTGAAGGTTTCTGTGTCTGTTTCCTTGTCGAAGATCGAAGTTCTGGTTGACCGTGTGGCCAACGTGTATTGCCTCTTGACCTTGTTGGAAGACACCGGTTGCCTTTCTATGCTGAAATTTGTTTGCAGTAGTTTGTCTGTGGCAGTTGCTGCCCGTTCAGCCGCAAGGTGGGGTGATCGATGGGAGGTACGTGTTGCGCGTCCCCACTCATAACGAGCTGAAGAGCTGGGGCATCCCCATGCTGGATGTTCAAGGATCTGCGTTTGGCTATGAGACCATCGGCGACACTGAGTTTACCAGAGAGGACATTGACCATCCTGCAATGGAGCGTCATACTGTGCTTGATCTGGAAGAGTGTGAACTAATTTGCTCCAATATTCCTGAGTGTGCAGCCCTGACGTACTACTTCGTTGGTGTGGACTTCATTACTGGCACCAACTGTAAACTCATGAATGCCACCTTCAACGCTTCATTGAGGCTTGAAGAAAGCCAGTCATCCGAATTTCAGCTTCGTCAAAGAGTAATTGTTCCTCAGATCAGCATCCTCACCTATGCTGGCATGCTACTTCCCGGAACGCTTTACAACACTTATTGCGCCTCGGTGTCATTTCGGTTTCGATTGGTTGCTACCGTTGTTGGTACCACATGAGGGGAATAAGGAAGTGAGAGTGCATGCATACGTCCCACCTAGGCAGTGCAGAAGATCCGGTCACTGGGGAGCACATGAACCTCTCCGCTGTCGCAGCAACCCTTGTCACAGAGCGGACGCAGGGTTGCACAGACTGTGGGAGCACGGACCCCCCGGCTGTGCAGATCCTGGGAGGCTGGGCGAAGAAGGATTCAGTGGGGATCGTCGCAATCGCGAGCCGATCCGGTCGCATCTTTTGCTTCGCCCGGGAGCACCCGCCAGGCAGCGCTTTCGCACAGATAGAGGCGCAGGAAATTCAGGATGCAGGCTTCTCGAACCTGGCAACGGTTGGAGGTCAGACCCTTGCCGTGATCATCACAGGCTTGAGCCCCGAGATACAATACCAGATCACTTGCGTCGCCGAGGCAGATGGGGGCCTCCTAAGCGTGCAGGATCAGATCGACTCCACCCGCCGACTGCTAAACACCTCATCTACGGAGGTCGCAGTCTCAGCAAATACCGGCCCGGTGGTGGCCCGATCAGAAGCTGTGGAGCTAGAAGTGAAAGTCAATTTGTCGAGCTGCTGACCCCTAGACGACGGGACGAATTGATGCCAGAAGCAAGTAGAGGCTGTGACAGGAATGTGCAGAAGATGGCAGATCTGGAAATGCAGTAGCAGCTTTGAGGTGTGACAAACCAACATTCTCAGGTTCACAGAACATGTAGATCATGCCCAGGAAGCAGCCGTTGCCAAAATTCCTGTGGCCCAGAATCAGCATATGACTCGGCCCTCCAAACTATGTGATGCCGACAGGAGGGATGCTCGCACGTGCCTTTGAGGGTGGGGACGTTGAGACCATATCCCTCAACCGAGATTCCTAGATGCAAACAAGACGTGACAAGAACCTGGCGAAGAGGGAGGATCAGGAGCATGTCAAAGGCTCTTTTGCTTGATTCTCGCCGAGGTGGCAGGCAGAAAGGCTTTGTAGTTTCTGGGACAAGTCGCTGCGAATTATATAGCCCTTTGCCTCAAAATGGGGAAGTGCGCGGATTGACAGCACACGGTCGGGCGGGCAGTTGAGGCAGCCGTCGTAGCTGCAATCATCTGAAGCCGGACGTTGGCTCGTCCGGAACGAAGGGCTTAACGTAAAGAAACTGTTCTTCCTCGGTCCCGGCCGACCCCGAACGTTAATGAACGTTACGGTTGCTGGAGTGTCAAAGGTCCAGACTTAGACGTGCGAATTGCAAGGCATGCACAGGTTCTTCGAAGGGTTGTTGTGCAGGATGCGATGTTGAGCGTTGTTTCTCTTCGAAGCCGGAATTCTTCAAGTCCACTGCTGGAAAAGCTTTTGGTGAGAGGCCAGTCAACCCCAGCGCAGAACATCACAGACCACAAACAGAAAAGGCCAGAATCTATGGCACAGGTCATGGGAGGCCATCCACGTGTAGGGCCGTAGGGTTGAGGAGATGCGTGCATCTTTTTGAGCTTCAGGTCACCATCAACAGCATGGAGATCACGCGCCAGGAGTCACTAGCCAATGAGCTCTTCGATGCGATGACAGTGAGGAGTCAAGTCACACGGCTTGGCTATATGTGGTGCCAAGTGTTCCCGCAGGAGAACGTGATCCTCTATGGTGTTCCCGAGGTTGACGAACTTGAGAAAATCGGACTGCGCGCTAAAGTTTTCGATCTGCAGCAAGATGCGCAGTTGGAGTTTGACGGGTTGGACAAGAACAGTTCCTTTGAGGTTTGGTGCACCGCGAGGTATGATGATTTTCGAAACGAGACAGATGCAGATCTGATTATAACGCCTTACCCCATCGCAATAATTCGATCTGCCGTGCTCGATTACAATTCAATTTCTCTCACGGTAAGCCTCAGCAAGAGCCCGGCTCATCTTTTTTGCGATGCGCTTCCATGGGCTTTGAGGCCAACCACAGAGAGGCCTTCGGCTCCAAATGTGGATCAACTAGCAGCCTCGCCATACAACACGGTGCTTTTTCTTGATGGTGAAAGTGGAACCATCACGATGGAGATCGCACCGTTGGTGTCTGGCTTTCGCTATGATGTCTACTGCTATGCAGAGTTTTATCGGCCTCCGCCACCGCCGGGGGCCATTGCACCACCCAGGCAGGGAATGACTATCTTCGACATCATCGAGACAAGGTATGCCATTCACATGCCTGGACCGCTGTTCGATGAGTTGGGATGGGAGTGTGTCTCTGGTCGTGCCTGTAGCGTTGATCATATCCTCGGCATTGGACTCACCGAGACCGACCAACTCATCGTTCGAGCAGACGCTTGCCCCGGACGCTGCCGTTGCGCAGGCGTTGTGGATGCAAATCGCAAAGGAGGCTTTTGCTCAGAGATCTCCCAGGATCCTCTCGTTGTGAATGGTATTGGGATTGAGGACAAGCAGGATCCTCGAGGTGCTTGGTGCTACGTGCGTGCTGGCACTTGCGAGGATGAGGAGCCGTCCGTTGTTTTTCCAAATATGATCTTGTCCTACAAGGTGTGCACATACAACTTGCCAGTTTCAGAAAATCAAGGCACACCGGGGTTCCCAAATGGAGGATTGGCATCCGTTCGCCGACACAGCAGTGGCCGAGCTTTCGACTTCAGTCTGGAGCGTTTGATAGTTCCTGGTCGAAGCTACGACCTTTGTTGGTGCAATGGCACGGAGTCTTCCTGCAAACTTGGTGCTGATTTTCATGTCCGCATCGGCGCGCTGCACATGTCAGGGCCATCGTCCCAGCAGATGGCTGCCAATATGTCCTGCAGGGTTGGCCTGCCGTGCATCCTGAGTTTCTTTAATGGCCATGCTGTGGAAGATGGATCCCGCCTCGTGGCCTTGCCGGAGGACCCGCGTGGATGCCGGTGGGAACGCGCTTCATTGGCCGATCCGCCAGGCATACCCGACTTCCCCAACCTTGGAGTGTCTGAGACCTACAGAAGAAGCCAACGCAGATACGTCTTCGGCTCTGTGCCTTTGGTCATTCCCGGGGGCGTCTACAACCTGTGCTGGTGTGGCCCTCCTGCGCGTACCTGGTCAATCGCGCCGGGGCAGGACTACCGAATACCCAATGGCATTGTTCCGCCGCCATGCCCAGATATCAGAGCAGATGCCGGAGGTGAGTTTCTGACACCAGCAGGAAAGCTACTTGTGATAGGCCCAGAACCCTTCGGCACCGTCTCATGTCGATTGGGCTCGGAGTGTGTGACGCCGTTGGTTCAGGCAAGGGCGCACTTTGACGTTAGGGCTTCGGCGAGTTCGTAGAAGTCGCAGAACAGTTTTCCTGGTTGCTAAGCATTCCCGCAACACAGGCAAACCCACAAGGTGCATGCAAACCAATCTGCCGGTGAGGGTAGGCATGGCTAACGGTGCCCAAACCAAGCCGTACTTTGCATGTGTCCTGTCACATGTGTTGCAAGCTGCAAGCCCTGAGGGATTGGGACTCCAGGGCAGCGATCGCTTGGTGGCCGCCAGCCGGTGCGGAGAGGCGTCGCGTCCACCGACTGGCTGGAGTGATGGAGCAGCGAGTCTATCGGATCCCTGGGTTAGTGCAGGCTGGGCGGTCTCTGAAGGGTTTTCACCCCAAGAGCTTGAGGCATTCGGCATTCAGCCGTCCAGCACGCAGCTAAGTCGCGTTCATGGTTCCTCGGGTTTCAACACGAGCAATCGTGGGGCCTACGGCTTCCCAAATTATGGCATGACCGTGCCACATGCCACTCCTGGATATTTTACATGGGGTGGACCGATTTGGGCATTCGCCGGGACCTATATTTTGTGCTGGTGTGGTGCTGAGGCTACGGTGGATGGATGTGAGTCGCCGAGGGACTTCCTTGCACCTGTGGGTTTAGTCGAAGTTTCCGGTCCCGGTGTTTTGCCCTTTGCAGCGCAGATGTTCACATGCGTGCGCCAACGGCAATGCGAGCTGAGCAATCTTCAAGGGACGCAGCCACCTACCAGTCGACTCATGGTTGCTGCTGGTGCCTGTGCAGGTCCAGCCGCGGAGGGATTCCCTCGACAAGGTCAATCATTGCCTTCCGTGGAGGGCACTACTTACTCGTGGGGCTCAGAGCGTGTCATGGCACACCCACGCAAGTACTATTTGTGTTGGTGCTCCGTCATCAGCAACTGCGAAGGTTACCAGAGTTTCGAAAGCTATGCTGGGGTCCTGCAAGTGAAGGCACCGACGGCCTCCCCGACCCGGTTCTTTTGCCCGCTCGCATCTGTGTGCAATATTACGGGCATTTCCGGAGAAGGGCTTAGCAATAGAGACACTGTCATGATCCTTGTGAAGTGCGGAGAAGCTGTCACCGACGCGGAGAACTTCCGAGATGGTTCTGTCTCGCTGGCAACCTTTGATGATGGAGGAACTTTCATGTTGCCTGCTGCTCAAAGAGCCGGTCTGTACCAAGTTTGCTGGTGCGCTGCTGAACAAGTCTGCCTGAATGGCCGCGATTATGGAACCACTTTGGGCCGGCTGGAAATCGGAGGACCGGAGGACTCAGTGACATACCGTTGCTTTGAGTGGGAGCCTTGTGTCATTGAGGAGCTGGAAGGACGTTCGCTGTCAAACGGAGATCGTCTGCTCGTGGTTCCCGATGGAACTGACTGCTACACAGCCGGTCCGGAACTGCGACTTGCAAATTTTCCGAACAATGCAGCGTCCCTGCCCGCAACGGAGGGTGGGAGGCGGTTTTCCTGGGGGAGCGGCTTGGTGAGGGCTGACCCCGGGGTCTACGCACTGTGCTGGTGTCACGCGCCGTACGCATTCAACGGCACCTGTTCCGAAGATGGCCCTTTCAACATTCCTGGCGGTGTTTTGCGGATTGGTGATAGCAAAGAGTTTCAGTATGTGACCCGGCCAGAGGACAATCCTCCCAGGGAAGGCGACCAGGGTGTGGCCTACTTGCTGGCCATTCCCCTTCCTCTGCTGTTCTTTGCCGCGATCTGTCTGGGGGTGAAAAAGTTGATAGGCCGCAAAATGAGAGAACAGGATGAGGCACCCAACCCGTGGGCCGTAAAGACCGACGACATAAGCTCAATGCAGCAGCAGCGATCTAAGCTCGGTGGAGAGGTGATGGAAGTGTCCCAAACCCGCTCCCAGATCCAGCGGCTCTCCGAGAACAGGGCCAGGCAGGAGCACCAACCCGGACCAAGGGATGCCCTACTGGCCTTATACAACATGGTTCTCAACCACTCCCGGCTCTCCCGAAAGAAGCCGAAGCTGAAACGCATGGGCCCTCAACCGAATTTGACGCCCTCGAAGAGTTTGCGCAGCCTGGCAACCAGCACGACGGACGATTCGGTGAGGCAAGGACTTGAAGTCCGGCAGATGGATGACATCGTAAGCTCCGACGATGAAATCTTTGCAAGCAAGAAGCCAAAGGCACCCCCGAAAACGGCACCAAAGCCGCCAAGTCTTGAGTTTCTGAGCGTGCACGATCCTCGTGTACTGCACATTTTGGATCAAGACTCCAAAGAGCCCCACACCTTGGTGTCTTACGATCTCGACTAAGTCGAGAAGGCAGCCAGGAGTGCTGCGGGGAGCACCGAGTGTGGCCGTGCAATTCTTCGGCGTGTCGATCATAGGGTGCAGTAGACATGAGATCCATTCAGCCTTCGCGTTTTCCAACCACTGCCAGGGCAGCTCGGGCAGCCTGCCTCCTGTGTTAATGAACCAAAGAAGCCGGCCTTGTTCAGCAATCCGTAAGTGGACAGAGATTTCAGGTGGAGTGCTGCAGCTACTTCAGTCTTTCGATGCCGGCTTCGCTTCCATGCCAAGTTTCACCCAATGTTGGTGCAAGCATCGTGCAAGCTTCTTGGACAGTGCTGGTTGCCATCCGAGGGCATTCGCGATATGTACATATAGGTCGGGCGCAAACGACCACGCTGGATATCGCGCCCGAAGACGTGCATGGCCAATGTGGCACTGCAGCATACATTTTCAGTGAATCTCGAGTTGCAAGGATCAAAGACGGAATGCTTAGCAGGTGTGTTGGGTTTTTGGCATCAATCGATGGGCCTTCTTTTTTGTAAGGATTTGAGGGAAGGCATGTGAGTTCCCTTCAAGATCCTGAAGCTTTGATGCTCACGGCGTGACGTACTCCTGTGCTAGGCTCTGAAAAGTGGGAGAGAGCAACACCTCAAAAGCCCCAAACCGGTGCTCCCGAGACGCAGCTGGTCCATCATAGCCCGAGAAAAGACATGCCTTCTTGTTTCAAGAAGGTCCAGGTAGTTATCTATTACGGATGCCTAAGGTCGGGCACAGGCGCTTGCGCGGCGACCCTAGCTGAATGCGGTTCGGCCACCACACCGTGTGTATCCAGTTCGGGTAGCGAACCCCACCACCCCAGCTGCTTCTCGCAGGCGTGAGAATCTCCACCGCAGGGTGAGGTTTGGTGCTTGCGAGGCCAGTTCAAGCCTTGTCATGTGTCAACAACCAGACCTCGTGATCCGTGAGGGCGTGGCTGCTGACTCCACTGTGCCGCTTGGTATGACATGGTGAGTGTCGTCTGTGGTGTGCAAAGCATCAATCAACGATTAGCAGTATGTGTGCCGCGAACCCCGTAAAGTACAACTGAGGGCCTCTGTGCCCTGCGAACTTGACTCTTGACGAAGCCAACTTGATGTAGGAGTGCAGTACATGTTATAGGCAACAAAAGTAAGAGACTATCTTGGAATGTCCCCGTAGTTGTGTGTTCCTGCAAGCACCCAGGAGTGCATGTGCTGCCGATGTGCAGCATCCGGACCGCGGCGCAGAGCAAGAAACTATGCGACACGACGAGCAGGTCGAGCTACATGATCTAGTGGATCCGGAAGATTTGCTGCAAGCTGCACGGCCCGCGTGTGCACGTGCACGAGTTGAAGATTCAAGCGCCACCCGGCCTGGAACTTACATCGAAACAGGCTCTGATACAATGGTTGGCGAAGCTGCAGGAGCTCAGAGTCCTGACAGGGACGAGGTCTCGGAAGACAATGAGGAGACAGTCTTGCGGAAGGTGGCAGTTCTTGGTTCGGGCACGGAAGCGGAGGAGGTGCAGGATATGCAGGCAATCGAGAAGGGTCCCACGATTGAGCAGGACACCGCCGCAGTGGGAGCAGATGCTTTAGACGAGGATCACCGTTCTTCGGTTCTTGATGCTCCAGAAGTCCATCAACCGCTCACTGATATGCTTGCTTCGGCAACTGCACCATGTATTGTTCAGGCAGCGGACAGTTGCACGCTGCCCGATGCAACGGACGTCATCCCTCCGGTGGAGTCGGAGCACGCCAGCGAGCAGGCCGAGCAAGTCGAGCAGGTCGAGCAGGCCGAGGCAAGGCTGGATAAAGGCAAAGGCAAGACTGACGACTTCGACTTTGGCGGCTGCGTTGAGCTCTCTCCGGAAGTGGACATTGGTTTCTGGGCATGTTCGTCAGGTATGGTTAGGTTTTAGGTTAAAGACTCTGCAAGCGACGAGGCTGGCAACCAGAAAGGCACTTGTGGGCCTGATCCTAGGTCAAAGCAAGATTCTGGCTGCAGACGAGAGCCCCGCGATGCAGAGGCGGGACTGGCTGGAGCCCGCTCTCCTTTGTTCTCATGCACGTAGCTTGCTGAAGGTTTTCTCCGGTAGCTTCATGCGACCAGCAAGGAGGGGACGCTCGAGGCTGCTTTCTAGGCGAAGGCGAAGATTGCAGAGCGATTTGGTTGAGGGCAGTTTTGTTATCCTCGGAGTGCGAGATTTGGCCTGATGTTTCACTTGTACCCTTTTGTAGGAGCTGAGCCCTGCGACAGAGGCATCGTCGAACCCGAGGCCTCGCGGTCGAAAGCCGGTGCTCCATCCTGTCGCTGCTTTCGCTCTCGGAGTTTCGTTCGAGGCTGAGCCTACTCTTGCGGTGCCGCTGACGAGGTGTCTGGGCTGCATTCGGATCGCGCAAGCCGCTGGCAGTGCCCGTTTCAGGCAATGCGAGCCGGACGAGTGGCCCCAGTGGGCTCATCCGAAAGAGGCATAGGATGTTGAGCGCAAGAGCGAGCAAGCGAGCGAGCAAGCAGTGGAACATACGTTCTGCCCCCACCCATACTTGCATGCGTAAATATCGACACCACGAGCAAAGAGCATCTACGTCGTTCAAACTGTGCAGGCCGCTGTGGGGCCTCCAGAGTTTTTGCCGCATCTTCGGCGATTAGCTGGACCAATGCCCACGTGTGGTTCAGCTTCCAGGGCTTGTTATTTGAGTGGCGGCCGTTACTGACGTGAGGACGAGTCTTCCTCCATTACGTTCCTTGGCACACCTTGGGGTCAGCTGAGCATAGCGAGCTTGGAGCTGGGCTTAGCTGGGCTCCGTCTCCGTGCGGTGCTTTGAGGCCGGTGGCGACTGCACAGCTCCCGGTGGCGTAGGCCTGAGCGGCACCAGGCCGGCTGCAACCTGCCTTGCTGCTTCAACCTCTACGTGGCCAAACAAGAATCCACTACAGGTTAAGCTATCTTCACCCAGCGACGTGCTGTTTGGATCTGTTTGGGACATCTTCGTTTGTCGACCTGTACCGTGGTCAGAGACAAACTGCCCCTTAAGACTATGTTACAGTAATGTTCTTCCTCCACCAGAACCAGTACAAAAGTTCAGAACTCGCCTCAGCGCTTTCGTCCAAGCCATTCCGAAACGTAACCGCGTACCCACAAGTTCACTGACCACGGAGCCGGCGAAAGGGAACTCGTAAAGGTCAATGCTTGATGGCTCCTCGAGCATCGCCCCCTTCTTTGATTGTCTGTGCATGCCACATGTTGTGCTTTGCTGTTGACTGCGTGGGTTGTCAGCTCTGTCGCCGAAAGCATGGGAGCATGTCTCGGAAGCACTTGTGCTGAGATCGCAGGGACTCGAAGTTGAGCGATGGAGCTTCCTCAAACTCACATGATTTTCCAGTCGAGGTGCTGCATCGAACGGGAACGATCCATCCAACAGCCCATGTTTTGGCCGCTCGGGAATTCGCCTGGTACTGGTCTATCTTTGCCATCGTTGTTGAAGTAATCCTGGCTTCGTCATCAGCCGCCCAATCAAGCCGGATATTTCGACAGTTAGGGAGTCACTCTATCACGTCGCTGCGTTCTGGCACCGAAATCTGGGTAACCATACCTGCCTGCTGGGAACCCACCCCCATAAAATCTAGGTCGACACCGCGGTTGATCATATACCATGTGTAGAGTTTGGCAGGCTTGGGTGCACATGTATCATCTGCGATCGATATCATGCCTTTTGGTTCAAGCCTTGGCAGTTGAGCCAAAAAGGCAGGATTTTGTTGCTGCCATTAGTCTGCGGTGGTGTCCCGCTTATTATGGCAGATGCTTTCGAGCAGGGGTCTCCTGCGTTCTTCGCAATTGTGTTCAGCCGCTTTGCTGTTCACACTGAGGCCCAGGTGTTGCACCCAGCGGCCATGTTGGATATTAGGGCACAGCTTCGGTACTTGGTTTCCGAGGGTCGGAACGAGGACGCTGCCAGGCTGTGGGCATCAGCCCTTGAGATCCAGCATTACCCTCCCCCCCCTCCGCTGCTTGAGGGGTTGCCTCCAGGTCTGCCACCTATCCGCACGATCCCGTGTGTCGCCACGGACTGTGCCCGGTGCGCCCAGAGCCGGGGAGGGTTCCAGCTGCCGTTTGTGGGTACATTTACACGTGCAGCAGCAATTGTTCGTCCAGGGAGTGACCCGGCTCAAGCGTGGAGTGATTACCATGCATGTCGCTCCTATCTGTCGGCTGGCGACGTCACGGCCCTTCATTCTGGGCTTTGGCCAACAGTTTTGCTGCCGAACCACCTCTACGCACTTTTTCGGCGGGTGGCGGATCAGTCCCACCCCCGCGCGGCTTCTTCGGGGGAGCTGTGGCTGGTATTCCGACATTGGCAGGCCGGCAGTCGAGTCTGGATTGAACCCGGGCAGGGTGTTCCTTCCTGGGAGGCTGGCCGAGCTGATGCCAGAGACAGGGCCCACAGGACGTTGTGGCTATGGCTTGGGGCCGTTTCTTATGGACCGGGCCTTTTACCCGCGGCCTGTCGCAGCTGCGGCGCCCCGACAGCATTCCGCTGCAGACGCTGCGATTCAGCAGCTTGTGGGGACTGCCTGGGACGCTGCCTGGGGTGCGCGTGAGGACGGAGAGCCTCGGAAGGGGCGCTCCCTTTCTTCGGTCTGGCAGGAGCCAGTGGTTGCGGAGTCGACCGCAGGCAGGTTTCTATATTGGGGTGGCGACCCCCAAAGCCCTAGGGAAGGGGCTGCAGTCAGGAGGGGACCTGGCTTTTTGTCCGGCGGTGGCGACCCGCCCGGTCTTGAGTCCTTCTCCTGCTCTGCCTCTGCTGTTGCCCGGCCTTCGCGATCAGCTTCCACGGCGGCTTCTCGGCTCAGGCCTTTGCTAGCAGCTGCGATGGCCGGTGTGTATGCCCAGCAGTCGCTTAAACGGCAGGAGATGGCGATAGCCAGCCCGGCCCGTCCTCCGGCCTCTTCGGGGAGGGTACCCCGGTAGAGGTCCGAGTGGAGGCTTGGCGCCGCGCCTTTGGCCTGGCCGATGACGAGGAGTTCGCCTACGTATTTATGTCGGCGGAAGAGGCGCAGAGGCAAGCTGGAGCAGAAATCGCAGCCAAATGGCGCGAAGTCCGCGAGCGAGTGGACGAGGGCAAGGCTCTGGCTTTCGCACATGAGGCAGCCCAAGCTGGAGCGGCGGCGGCCAAACCCTCCACTAAGCCTCGCCCGCCTTTGCCGCGGCGGCGGGCAGCCGTGCCCAAGGCACCGCTGCAAGCCCGTACGCCTGTGGAGCGCGCTGCCTTGGAGACACCATTGGTCGAGGAACTCGCCGACCTTTGGGTAGATGCCAAGGTTCAGCGCCCGAGCGGTGAGCTCAACGCGGGGCGCCAAGCTGAGTGGGAGAACTTTGTGAGGCGCCGTGCTGCCAAAGTGTGCAGCGAAGCGGAAGTGGCCACGATCAAGAAGGCCGTGGTCTCCCTCCGCGAGCTTCAGCATTTCCAGGTTGCCCGGGGCAGAGACGGGCTTGAAGAGGTGGACACCCTGGACCTGGACGCCTTCATCTTCAACTCGGCCGCTCCTCATCGTGCCGTGGCGGGCTTGCGGTGGGCTGCCAAGCAAGCGGAGCTCACCTGGAAGATTCCGGATGCACCCCGGACTGAGCAGCGCCGGAAGCCCAGGGACGAGCGGCAGGCCACCTTGGCCGAACCGCCGATGCTGGTCGACCTGGAGAAGGTTATTGAGGAACGGTGCATTATGGGCGACCCTCGGTGGACTGCGATGCTGGGGCAATGGATGCAGGCCTCCAGCTGCATGCGGTATGCCCACCTTCGCAGGAGCGAGGTCCTGCGCATCACGGGGTCGACCGTGCATGCTTTCTGCAACAAGGGCAAGCAGCGCCGCCTGCGGCAGGGTTTTTACTTTGCCATTCCGGCCGCCTTTGCTTCTGGATGGAACTGGACCGAGCCCTGGAAAGAAGCCTTCGAGGCCCTGCCCAAAGGCCGGCGGAGCCAGTGCGGGCTATGCTTCGATGTTCGGGGCTTCTCGTGGTCCCTCAGGGAGTCTACCCTGGCCGTGCAGGCGGCTTTCACGGACGTGGTGACCAATCCGGAGGAGCTGACCTCCTATAGTTGGCGCCGGTTGGGTCCTTCTGTGGCTATGCTGGCGCAGCTTTCGCCGGGCGAGTCGAACGCCCTTGGGGACTGGCAAGATCGAGTTTCTGACCAGAGGAGTGCCATGCCCGTCCACTACAGTGGGTTGCGCTACAAGGAGAGCGTCCGGGTCAAGCACTTGGTGTGGGCCTATATGGGGGAGTTGCGCCCCTATCCGACGTGGGATGCGGTGACCTCGCAGGACGTCGCGGAGCACACGACTTTGGCCCAGTCCCTCTGCGAATCACAGGTCAGGGCTGACAAGGAGCTCCTGTGGCAGGGACCCGCCTTCGCCGCGCACAAGCCCAAGAAGTTTACCATGAGGTTGGCTGCCCCTCTTGCACGCAGGTCTTTGGCCGGCCCGGTGCTACCTCTTGCGAAGCTGCGGTCGAAGCGCAGGGCGGAGCCTAAAGCAGTGGCGAGCAGCTCGGCCCGGCCCAGCTCGGCTGCTGCGGAGGTGCCCGCACCTGGTTCCCCCATGCCGCCCTACATTGGCCGCCACAAGACGTCGCAGAACTTCAAGGACGGCGGCCGGCTGTGCACCGGCTTTAATTTGGGTAACTGTCGGCGTGGATCCGACTGCCCTTTCCTCCACAGGTGCGCTGCCACCAAGCTCTCTACAGACAGAGTCTGCGGCGGGAAGCATGCGGCCCTGGACTGCCGCACAAAGAAATATGGCCTACCTCCCGGCTATGTCGTCCCCGGACAATCGCCAGAGCCAGCGCCTGCTTCCCGACGGCGTCCGGCCGACGCACCGGCCGAAGGTGATGGCCGGCGAGACTCCAGAAGCAGGGTGGCGACAGGTGGTGACGTGGCTCCCCCGCTTCCCCTGGCTTCGCCTCCCGGGGGAGCAGGTTTGGGTCACCGGCGCGAGGCACCGGCTCCGGTACGCCGGGGTGACACGGCAGCAGCAGGCGCCCAGTCCAGCGCCCCACCTGTATTTGGGAATCGCCGGCAGGAGGGCGTCTTTTCCTGTCCGGCTTGCCGCTGCGGGAAACCAGTGGCCAATTCCCGACGATCCATTTGCAGATTACTTGTATGGATCGAACCCCGGAACAACGGGGAGGCATAGCCCTGTGCAGCCGGAACCTGCTGTTCAACGTCTCGGCCAGGCAGTCCAGGGAGGAAGAGTGGCTCCGCATCTTCAGTGCAGTCGCACGCACGCTTTTGGCGGGCCACAATGTATTACTCCACTGTATGGCGGGCCGGCACAGAGCTGCGACTACCGGCGTCGCATGCCGGGCGGTGTTGGCAGGCGAGACCCAGGAGGAGGCGAACCAGGCGATCCTGAGGGTGAGACAGATCGAGGTGGATCGCGCTATCCAGCAAGACCGCAGCCTGGGTTCGTGGTTGGCCGGGGCCGTGCGTAACACACGTGTCCCCCCAACACCTGTGCAGCCACGCGGATATATCGCCACTGCGAGCTCGCACCTCCACCTCGAGTCCCCGGAGGAAGGCGTTCCTATCTGCAAGCACAAGCAGGGTATCGAGAGGCGCCGGTTGGCCAACCCGCAGCGCACGACTAGCAAGCTAGAGGCCATCGGATGGGAGCGACCCATCTGTGAGGGCTGCTTTTCACGAGCATCCTCCAAGTATTTTCCGGTATAGGCACCTCGACGAAGCGAGGCTTTCGCCACGATATGCCGGTAATTCGAAGTCGACCAGTTCGCCACCAGCAAATCTATTTTGCGGGTGCCGCATAAGAGCCCGTGTGCCCGCCGTGGCTGGTACCGTATCTTAGCAAGAGGAGCGAGAAAAAG